TGGCGGTGCATTCAAGTCAATGACACCGCAGCCAAGCCCCTCACCCGCAGTGCGATCGCCCACATCCGGAACGCAGGCACATTAGTTCCTGCGTTCCGGTCCAGTGCGATCTGCAAAAATGTTGCAAGCACTATTTTTGCAGATTGCACTGGACTGGAATGCAGGCAGGCGATCGCACTGTGGGCGGGGGGCATGGTTGCGGTGCCTATGACTTCAATACAACCCCACGCCCCCTCCTGCTCTGAATGCAGGGAGTCGGCAGGCTTGCATTCCAGTGCGTTCTAGAGGCGCCAGCGTCCTGTCCTCCCGCAGTGCTCGTGTGGCTGACGTTGCACACAGGGAGAGGTGTCCTGCCTCTTTCCATCTGCGGCGTCTAAAACATTCAGCCGGCAGCCACACGAGCACCGTGGGAGCATAGCCGCAGCTAGCTCCTTTTGCGCCCGAGGCAAGAAAATAAAATAGACACATAGTACTATGTGTCCCCAGTTATTTACAAACACTGGAGTGATCTGCTGATCGCTCCAGTGTTTGTCCTGCACAGAGGATTGGTACATATCACTGATATGTACCGATCCTCTGCCACTCGGCCACGCACACAGGGGGGCTCAGGTTCTCCTCTGGATCTCCGCTGCTCTCCCGGGCAGAGGCAGTGGGAGATCCGAGGAGAAGTGAAAGAAGCACTTCAGCCGGGGGGCGGGGGACGGAGCCGCTGTCACAGCAGCATGTGCAGTGAGGAGAGAGAGAGAGCCGCCGGCTGTCAGATCCAGGCCGAGCGGCTCTCTCTCTCTCTCTCCTCACCGCTCGGTGTGCTGCTGTGATAGTGGCTCCGTCCTCCGCCGCCGGCTGCAGCTCTTCGTTCGCTTCTCCTCAGATCCCCGCTGCATACAGATGGGGGAGAGCAGCGGGGATCCAGAGAAACCCCACGGCAGGAGGACAGGACATCGTGATCTACCAGAGATCGCTTTGCGATCGACTGGTAGATCGCGATCGACCTAATGGGCACCCCTGTACTAGATTGTTCACTTCTCCTGCCTTCTCCAGACTCTTCACCCTTTTGTGAATAACCCTTTTGATGTCCAAGGTTATTAGTTTTTTGACATGTCATATAAAATGTTATTGTAGGTTAAAGGTCTTGTTTGTAGCTTTGTGGCATATTTTCTACAGTCTAAAAGGCCAGACTTATTGTACTACATTTTTAGGAATATTTTGGGTTTAACACTTGTATTTATAATGACAAGTAATATTAAAGCAGTATTTAAAAATGCAAGTGATATTAAAGCAGTATTTACAAATACAAGTGATTTTTAATGCCATTTACAAATACAAGTGATATTATATAATTAAAAATTATGTGTAAACATCACTTGTACAAGTACTACTTCTCCAGTTTACCTGGTGGTGACTGGTTGGTTTTGCATATCTACTGTAAATAAAAAGTCAATAAAGTTAAACCATCTGATTGGTTGCTATGGTCAATTGCTCCAGATTTTGTCTGCTCCAGTTTTGATAAATTCCCCTGTGTTTACCTCACACCTCCTGGATTACACATATCCTTCTGTTCCTCAGATGTCACTGTATAGCAGCTTAGTTTTGATAGATTCCCTCCACAGTGTTTACCACTGAAAATGGAAAATAATACACAAACTTGGCCTCGTTGGCTCATCATTTGTAAAACTTTTCTCTACTGGTCAAGCTCTCACTGCCGTTTACAGGATGATCTGCATGGATTATGGACATCTCTGTGGCCCAATGGCACAACAACACATAAGGTGGTGATGGTTAGGATGGCTCCAAAGACAGAATTAAATGGAAAGGACAGCAAATTCTCACCTTACTCTCTGAATTCATTGGTTGAAGAGGTTGCAGGGGACGCTCTGAACTTCCAGGAAGAATGTATTCTGGTGGAGAACAGTCAATTGGATCTAGCCCTTGTTCTGAAGAGGAGCGTTTTTTCTTCTTGACATTGTTTTCATGGGAGGCAGAATCTAGAAAGGAGGACAGCTATCACCATCTGTAATCATATGGCCACCAAAATGTTTCTTCTTTTCTTCTGACATGACATGGCTGCATTGACACTCCATGTCTCATTGATTTGTACCATTTTTTGTACCAAGGACAACTGCAGCCATATCGATTTACAGGTGATTATGACAACATAATGTCTAAAAAGTCTGTATTGGCATACTTTTATCTTACAATCAGCTGATCTGGCATATTATAATTTTACATATAAAAAAAGAAACAGATTACAATTTTATTAGTAGTAGTCTACTGGGGTAAAGCCCTTATGCATACAGGAAATGTTTTTTAAAAGGGTCAGGTTTTTTAACGTTTTACCTCCAATGTCACCCTCAGAGATGTTGCTCAGGAAGGACAATGAGCTACAGTCTATTCCATTGTAGGCATCTGTGAGGTCCAAGCTCTTCAGTAAATCTCGGAAATGGCGTATGTGGATTCGAGCGTCTCTGATGGTGTATGGTTCTATAAAAACACAAGCCATTAATCTGGATATCTTGTTGGTCCATCTAACATAACTCAGGCACAGGTGAGAAACGTAAAAACCTATAGTGGCTCACTGTAACAACTGATAAGCAGGTACAGTAGGTGATCCTATGGCAACCACCTCCCCCAGGGGTGTCCCTACACTTTTTGCCGCCTGAGGCTAGGGGGATGCTGGTGGTGCATAGTCCGGGGAGGGGGGAATTGGGGAAGTGTGGTGGATAAGGGGAACGCTTGGGGGCTGCTGGTGGTGCATGTTACTGTGAGGGGAAGAAGGGGGCAAGTGCACGTGATGCACGGTACCTCTGTCTCCAGTTCTGTCTGCCATCCTGCCTAGTTCACTGACATCACGGGTTGCAGGAGCTGGGTGGGACACCCAGAACGTCTCACTCAGCTCCTGACAACCAGTGACCTCAGTGTGCTGGGAGGGATGCCAGACAGAGCATCCCAGGTTGCCAAGAGCTCCTGGCAGCTTGGGATGCTCTGTCCGAACAGGGGGCGGCAGGCACACCTGCTGCCCCCTTTCACGTGACCCAATTATCTGAGGAAAACCACCCCAGGCTGTCTCACTATAGGGAGGCCCTACCCTTCCCTTCATTGCTTCACCTTATCCTTTACTGTTTATGGTAAGTACTGGAGAAAATACTGTATATAGCATATATAAATACATTTATGGGTTTGGAAAGGGAAGAGAGCATCAAAATATTATTATCAAATACAGCAGTATCGGTGAGCATTCGCTTATCTGTGCTTCAGAAGAACTTTTATCACTGGGTACCATCTAGGCTTGTGAATTATTTAACTGTACAGTAAATACAACATTGGGTAATCATTGCATATTACCACTTGTCATTAACAAATGGAACATTTACCAAGTTACCAAGTTACCATAGCAAGTATTAAGCAACATGCTAAGGATAGCCATACACTAGTAGTTTTCTTCCTAACTGATTTTTTTTTTTATTCCTCCATCCACACTAAACAGCATTGATGGGGAAATCCCCCACCAGACTACTCTGACAACAGCGAACGTGTCATAATACCCAAACAGTGACTGTAGCTAATTGGCTCCAATCACTGTTAAACACAATTTTCCACTCGACCCCTTCAATCTTCAGATCGAAAGATGTCAGCAGGGCCACCCACAGTGCAAATTTTGGCCAGCTTAAGATATCCACAGTATCTGATTGTATATGTATGCATGAATTGCCCCTCCTCAGTTCTAACACTAGGAAGTACAGACTGTTCTTACCCTCCACCACTTTTAAAACAGAACCATCTTTCAGTCCTGCCACAGACTTTAGCTCTGAAAAGTTGTCCAGGACATTGCCTTCAAACTGGAGTGAAAAACATGTTCTATGACAGGAATCTTCATGCTCCATTAACACTTGGATGATCTCCTGTACTAACTCTTTTGGAGAAACCTGTGCATGTAAAATAAAATAATATGAACATCACAATAAACAACTCACCGAATTAAAGCGTATGTAAACCCAAAAACAAATACATTATACACTGCCTGTCCAAGAAACAAAGTCACCACCTGGATTTAGCTAAGAAAATAGGTCAGAGCCTTGCAATAGATAACAGGTCTAGGTTTAGCAATGTTATGTCCCCATAAAATGAGGTGAGCTGCCTACCTGAATATACTGAATGACCAGGTTTTTCTATCAATGGATTATTTCTTCCCTGATGGCATGGTCTTATTCCAAGATCACTATGCCAGCAGTCATTGGGCTCAAGTTGTGAAAGAGTGGTTCAGGGAGCATGGGATATCATTTTCACACATGGATTGGTGACCACAGAGTCCAGACCATAACCCCATCTTTGTGATGTGCTGGAGAAGACTTTATATAGGGCTGTGACTCTCCCATCATCACTTCAAAATCTTGGGGGAAAATGAATGCAACTCTGGATGGAAATAAATGTTGTGACATTGCATAAGCATATGGAAATAATGCCACAGCGAATGCGTGCTGTAATCAAAGCTAGAGGCGGTCCAACGAAATATTAGAGTGTGTGATTTTTATTGGCAGGCAGTGTATTATAGCTTACTAGACCTTGGATGTGGTGGCTGCATTAGATTGCTTTAACATTTTTTTGTTTATTTTCACCTGGTAATCCTGCAAATAACACACCTCCTGTCCCTGGGTGGCCTCACTGAGTAGGGGATTAAGTTTGTGCTTTCAGGTCAGCTCAGCGGAAGTGATGAGACCATCATATCTAAGGACTTTTAAGCTATAATATATTACATTTTGTTATTGGGTTTAGCTATCCCTTGAGGAGTACAAAGGCACTGGCAGGACAAAGCATTATTACAACCCAAGGATATAGATATGATTAGTGGGCCCTCATAGTAATCAATATTTCCATAGTCATCCTTTATATCTCTCAACTCTTCCCACGTGTCCTATTGTTTTCTTCCCTCTACTTCTTTTTTTACTTTTTTAAAGCCACCCTGTCACCAACTTAAACAATTTCACGTAAAAGCACAGAAAAGTCTTGCAGTTCAAATGCTTATTTACTGTTTCATAAATTATTTATTTACTTGCAAAGTGCCTTTGAACTTGCTAGCAAATTTAACTTCTTCAGGTAAGAGTCAATTACCTAGCACAGCCCCCATCCATGTCATAGCCCTCTCTTCCGGAACAATAACTTTCACTGGAAACAACGAACCTCATACTACTTTCCACTGGAAACAATGGTCCACATACTTTTGGCTACATAGTGTGTCCAGTCTGTCATGTGTGTAGCCCTAAGACACTCAAAACTCAAGAACACAGCTAGTGAAAATTGCTCCAAAGCTAGAGTGCACTGCCCTGCAGCTTCACATGACCATCTCTGACTCCAATAGTAAGGTTACATGGTTAACAAATCCCGAAGCACAGCATGGTTACAATTCCAAATAATTTGCATTGAAAGCCTATAACAAGGTCAGGGGCGTAACTAGAAATCCCAGGGCCCCATAGCAAAAAATGTTAAGGCCCCAAAATAGCCAAAAATGCTCTTTCAAAAATCGCGCGGAAACCAAGGTGAAACGCTTCCGCTGTGGTGTGAATGGCGCCTGAATGAGGCCTAACATTTTATTTTAATACTGCCACACCAATGAGAGGCTGAGGAAAGGGTGATTATAAAAAAAAATTAAGGTACGCTAAACTGTAAATAAGCGATTTATGTTATAAATGGTTTTTGTGTTTGTGTTGTAATAAAATGATACAGGCGTATATTGAATTACAACACAAGGTATCACAACGCACGGCAATGCGTCACAAAGCTTTGCCATGCGCTGCCACAGTTAAATTTATGTTTTTTTACAAAAGAAAAAAATCATGCACTGCGATGCGTTCTAACAACGCACTGCAGCGCATGTGCCTGGCGTACACCACAATATGGTGCACGTGTATGTTATGTGTGTGTGGGGGAGGGTGGATGGGTTGTGCTTTTTTTTTTATTTACACATTTTTTATTTATTATTTTACTGTTGGGGGGGCTTTGGGGCAATATTAGGGGTCTAAACAGATTTAGGGGTCTAAATTTTGAAATAGAAAAAGACATTGAGGACACAGAGTCCTCAATGTCTTTTTCTGCAGCCTCAGTGAATGGGAAGCACTCAGTACAGAGGCTTCCCATTCATTCACAAACTGCTGATAGTAAGATATTTACTATCAAGCAGATTCTCAATGGGGAAAAGCCTCTGTACTGAGTGCTTCTCCCCATTGAGAAATTCATGAATGAACAGGAGGTGATGTAAATCACAGCCTGTTCATTCATAACTGGGGAGACATAGTACTATGTCTCCCCAGTTATTTACAAACACTGGAGTGATCAGACCATCACTCCAGTGTTTGTACTGCACGTGGAGGATCAGTAAATATCACTGATACTTACCGATCCTCCGCTCGGCCACGTACACAGCCGCTGTCATCCTGAAACTGGCAGGAGGACAGCGGCTCCGCTCTCCTCCCCGCCTACAGGCGGGGAGGAGAGCAGAGCCGCTGTCCTCCTGTCAGTTTCAGGACGGCAGCGGCTCCTCCACCGGCCATTTCTTTTCGGATCCCCGCTGCCTCAGCCGATACAAGCGGGGGAGAGCAGCGGGGATCCGGGCCCCCCCAGTGCCACGGGCCCCATAGTGACCGCATCGGTCGCTATGGTTGTAGTTCCGCCACTGAACAAGGAGCATATTCTGACTCCCACAACCCAACCACCACTGCTATTCCTGAAAAATTAAGAAATCTTCACAGCTACATAATATATAGATGAAGTAGGCCACTCCAAACTGGGGTCTCACCTGTATTTCTACATCATCTCCTCCTGGCAGTTGAATGGTCACATTAAATATATTTTGCGAGTCTTCTTCACTGCTTTGTCCAACTACGGTTTCATCTTTTCGTTCTATCAAATTGGAAATAAATGGTGGAAAATTACCATGAAAGCCGACATAATGCAACAGTATGGCTTGAAGTATTCTGAAATATGTTACATAAGTTAAGAGCATTCAGAAGTTATTCCAGCATGAGACATTATTAGGTCCTCCTCAATGGAACATAAACAGTATTGCGAAACACGCAACTACACAGATCCCATAGAGATGGACACTTTTCTTACAACATCCACATCTTACAACTTCCATATGTCTGATGGTATATATACACAATATATGTTAATATGATTGTATCTATATGAAATAGAGCAACTGCGATCCATCAGAATTTACGAAGGCGTGTTGGAACAAATATGTCCTCTTAATGATACATGTCTGGTGATTGGCTAGGTAGAAGTGCAGGCACACTTGTATTCCTATGGATGTGGTTTGTTCAAGTGATAAAACTCTATTGATACAAGAGTTATTTCAAAGTGTAACATGTAAAAACATGCACGTTCATTATTGTTTGCAATTGACAGAAGCCATCCTAATGGTAAGCTGCAAGCGAAGTGCATTTTAGGTGAAGGTTTCTATACACAATTTCACATTGCTTAACCATTATTCCTCCACCGACATTGGGTAAAGCATATATCAGCAAATTCAGAACTAGCACTGGAAAGGAACTGCATTGTTGTAGAAAACACTGCAGCTCTTCAGAAACCTTTGTTGAAATACATGTAAACACTAAAAACTTAGTAGTTAGAATCCTGTCAGGTTTTTATGACTGACTGTGTCCCCCACTAGGGAAATTCATTCTCTTTATTATTCCTGGTGACCACTGTCACGAGAACAGATATAGTGGTGAAATCTTCCAATGGAGATACCGTACTTGTTTTGGTGATAGCTGTCTAAGAGGGGGTTCCCCCCCACTTTGAACAGATGTCATCTAACTTCCTGTAGTAGCTACATGACAGTAAATTAAGGGAAATCTCCTTAATAGAACACAGATATCAAGGAAGGGGGGCGGGGGGGGTAACAATTTCTCTCTACTCTATCCCAAATGAAAGAAGTTTTGGCTTTAGATATACAAAAAAAACAAAGTGTCACTTCAGTATTTACTAATATGATTTCTATTTAGAGATCCAAAATTGTCATTACAATAGACTGACCAATAAAGGCAGCATATACTGTAGTAATAGATTAAAGTAACCCTGTCACGAGAGAATTACAGGCAGGCTGCCATTGCTGGATTCCTGCTGGAAATGCTAGTTGCCTCTCTGTATTTGGCTTTGAGTCACAGAATCAGAACATGCATGTTGTAAATACTATGTCAGAGGAGTGTCAGGTTTATCTCTACACTTGTCCCATGACAGAGAATCGGAAAGAAATAAGGCCAAAGCATCAATATGACAGCCAAAAAAAAACTCATATTCTGGAAAAGCGAGGTCAGCAACTGCAGTCTTCATAACTGTCTGAGGACAGGTGTAACTTAGACTTAGCTCCTGTGAAATTCCAGATTGGCAATGACTGGCATCTGTAAGAAAACAATGTTGAGAAAATCCTTCATTCAGCTAAAGCCCCTCCAGGAAAATATTTTATGTGTACAGTTACAGCTATCATATAGACCCTCAGGTCAAGTATTTTGCAGATGTAAAGCATATTTAAATGTATTCTGATGCTCTATAGCTGGGGTAGTGAATTGCAATTCAAGAAAGGCCGGTGAGTAAAATTTTAATCAAGCAGGTCTGAATCACGGTCTGGACAAAACGGTCACTCAGTCCATGTCCATACCGTGGTCCGCCACTTAGGCTGCATTCACACCAGCAGATGCACTACAAGTCCCTAAATGCTAATTGTCAAGGTTGTCGCTGTGTTTATTTTAGCTCTCAACTGAACTTTTAAGCCCCACGAATGGCTGGTATCATAGCTGATCACATGTGCAGCACCATGGCAACTACAATACAAATAGAAAAGCGGCCCAATTAAGTCATCTCGTGGAGTTATCTTGTGCCCCAACGAAGTACTGATGGGGTGGTCATAATAATCTGGCCACTCAGTGTATATACACATCTGGTCTAAACAGATGAAAGATAGATTGTGATTGGTTGCTAATAGTTACTGTTAGACCCCATTCACACTGAGCGACATGGAAATCGCGCGACTTTGAGCGACATTGAGCGACGAGCGACATTGAGCGACGAGCGACGTTGAGCGACGCGTCGCGCGACATCGCGCGACTTCTTCCTATTGGGCTGTATGCAATCAGGAGCAATATCGTTCAAAATCGCTCTAAAAAAGGGTCATGTAGAAGCGACAAGCTACCAGCGACGAGCTACAAGCGATATTGAGCGACATTGAGCGACGAGATGTGAACAGCTACATTGAAATTTATTGGTGAAGCTACATAGAGCGATATAGTGCGGAAATATGAGCGATATCGCTACAAAAATCGCGCGATAAATCGCTCAATGTGAACGGGGCCTCAGGGATGCACCGATACTAGTATCCGTTTCGGTGCCTCTTTCGGTGTACTCTTACTCGCCCAAATACTCCTGATGCCTATCCCGATACCGGAACTTCCAGTATCGGGAAGCCGGGTGGCGAATCATTACTCGCCCCCGGCTTCCTGATTGGCCAGAAAGCCGACTCCATTCTTCCTTGTCACCTGGTGATGAGGGAGTATGGAGACAGCTCCTCGGCAATTCAGGAAGCCGGGCGGCGAGTCATTATACGCCGCCCCTGCTTTTCCGTCTAATCAGGAAGCAGGGCGGCGAGTCATTAGTCGCCGTCCGGCTTCCATAATTGGACTTCCAATATCAGTATTCAATTATCGGCGGGAAAAAAAATATTGGTACTCGTACTTGATACGGTATCCCTAGTTACTGTCATTGACACATTATCATTTCTGTTTGCTTTGTCTTTTTATTAGAATATTTGATTATACATCAGAGAGAACTTTTTGCAGACATAGACGCCACACATATTTTTTACATACTCAGACTTGTTATAACTGAGATTGACCAGATTCTGGTCCGAACACGATGGCAGCTGCTCAGTGCTATGCTTTCCTTTTAATGTCTAACAACAGCTTTCTGACAAACCCGATACTGTAATGGCAGTGAAAGCATAGTCTCTGTAAACTTTCTCACTTGTTTTCTAATATTGTACAGGCTCTTTAAGTGACCAGTGTGTCCAATGAAAACTGTCCACATTTGGCTTACTAAAGATCCAGCTGTGTCCAAAGACAGATGGGTACACGGGGAGGGGAGGTTACAAAATGGAAGAACTGGTTTGCAGAAAGCCAAACACATGACAACTAAGTATTTCCCATTAGTGCATAAAACATTTTAGGAGCCTGTATGAGCACATTAGAAGAGGAATGTTTCATGGGCATCTATGTAAAGCAGGGAATCTGAAAATCTTTCATTGCAAGTGAATCTTCCTGAAGCATGTGTTTAAAATGATTATTAATTCACCATCAATGAATGTTTAGAGAAAGTCACATTCACTATTTTATAAACATGCCTATTAGTGCCTTGCAATATTACTGTAAGAAAGGTGGTGTTAAAGCTGAACTCCAGGCAGAAAAACTTTCATTTGAATATATTTCTCAATACCCACAAAGTATATAAATCCACTTTGTGTGCACCACATGCCTTTGTAAACCCAGATATTAAATGGTAAAAGTAGTGGTGACATCATCACTGTAATGGACATAGCCTGTACGCAGAGCTCTGCAGGCACCACCCACTACCGCCTGCCCGCAGAAAACTACAGGTGGGGGCGGAGACAAGACCAGTCACCATGCACAAGGAGACCAAGCAGTGGAGACTGGTCTTCATAACAGGAATCCCCTACACAGAGGCAAAGTCTCAAACTCGATCACTGCAAAGATCTAGAACAGGGGTCTCAAACTCAATTCACTCAGGGGCCGCTTGATTAGGGATTCCTGCGTCAGAAACTTCAAGGTAATGATCAGGTGGCAGCAGTTGCATGTAAATGCCTCCCATACCGCATGTAATGATATGTAATATTATTACATGCGGTTAGAAAACACTCTCCCTGGGTGTACAATCATTCCTAACCCAATGTAATCATATCACATACAGTTTGCAGGCATTTACATGCAACTGTTGTCACCTGATCATTAACTTAAATAGTTGACAGCTGCTGCTTTTAAACGCCAGATTAGGGATTCCTGCTGCAGGAAACGCATGCTCCTGATGCAGGAATCCCTAATTGCACCTAAAGATATAGGTGTGAATGGAGCCTAATACACTTCTACTCCCCCCGATACACATAAAAAATACTAGCCCATAAATCCCAGTCCCCCACACACATATAAAATAATATAATTCCCAGTCCAATCCCAACAGATATAAAATAGTATAATTCCCAGTCCGTCCGTCCGTCCGTCCCCCCCACACACCCACATACAAAATAGATTACAAGCCCCCTTACCTTGTTGCAGGGAGGAGACTGTGAGCCGCGATCGATCCCTGGTGATCTAGTGGTTGATTGGTAAGGCCTGCTGCAGACCTTACTAATCAATCCTTTCGGCCAGCGTTCAGCGAAGACGCTGGCCGAAGGATCCGAGTGGTGGCACAGAAGCAGCTATGCGGTCTGCATCCGACAGGGATACAGACCGTATAGCTGCTCCCGCCTGAACTGGCTGCGGGCCACATAGTACCGGCTCGTGGGCCGGGCCGGTACTTTGAGACCACTGATCTAGGAGGACACAAAGCACACCAGGATTCAAGTAAGAATATACTTGACCACATCTGCTCTTTCTAGAATTAAACTTTAAGCCTTACACCTACAGTTACTAACCACGGCTACCATAGCCTTACTTTCAGCTTCTCTTATCTTTTTACTTTGTAATGGATTTTTCCAGGTCCCCATCACTTTCACAAGCTAAGAAAGATGTAAGGGATGCCACAAAAGGCAGAACCAATGTGACAATACCAATGTGATCCTGTCATCTTTTAAATCGAATTATTAGATATTCGGTTTGCTCTTTTCTTTGTTGATGCCTAACCTTCTATCAATGCAAGTTGTCTAAGCATTGGTGTATATGTAAAAGAAAAAAATAACACAGAATAGACAATTCCATGAAAAGAATGCGCAGGAAATGAATGGCTTTGTTATACCCAGTTGTGCCTGGAAGGATCTTATTACTGCTAAGAATTCCTCATAGTGATTATGATGTACTTTGCCTGTTGTGGGGACACTCCTCACATGCATTTGGTCCCC